TCACACTATCCGCATCAAGCTCCCCAAGAACTCACGGTAGCCAGGGTCTCCCAGATGGTCCGCCTCCTCGGAGATCTCCGCGGGGACCTCTCTCAACCGGTCGCGCATCCCGTCCGTGAACCTGCGCACGACCGTGGCGATGCACGTCGACAGCGCCGCCGTGTGATCACCGATCTGCCGACCGCCGTGGTTGACGACCTCGCCGACACACACCTTTTGAGCAAGGACCGACCGTCCCGGCATTCCTATAGGCCTACCACGAAATGTTCTGAGACCACGAGAACGCTCGAATTTGAAACAAGACAGTCTCAACCAGAAATGTTATGAGAACATGCCGTGCAGACCACAAAAGGTTCTGAGAACATTCTTGGGTGTGCCAATAGGCACGCCAGGACGCTTCGCCACTGCTCGAACCTTCTGTGCCTCCCTCTGAATGTACGGGCAGCAGCGCTTGAAGGTGAACACGCGGTCCCAGCAATGCTCCGTCGCCTTCCCCGAGCCGCGGCAGCACAAATTCGGGTCCAGGACCCTGGAGGCATTCCGCTCAGCACCGGCGCGGAGCGGCGGCCGCTGCCAGCACGGGTGGCCGAACCTTTCGGCAGGGACCGACCGATCCGGCACAGTGGCCCTAGAGCATGAAACAGATGTACGAAACTCAGGCGGTCTCGGCCAGAAATGTCCTAAGAACACTTCTCGTGCACACCACACAGGGCACAAGGTTCTTAGAACGTTGTTCGATGGGCCGATGGGCATGTTAGGACGCTTCGCCCCTGCTTTCGGCCGCGAGCCCAGCGGGGAAGTGAGACGGGGCAGGACTTCGCAGAAGGTGGCAGCATTTCTCAGAAGCCCGCGCGCCTTCTGAGAAGCCGTCCGCGCCTCTGGGGAAGACGCTCTGGGCTTCTCAGAGGGCCCCAGGGCTTCTGCGAACTCCGGGCCGCCCTCTGCGAAGGCGTGCCCCCTCCAGACCCCCGACGCCATGATTTCTTCTTTACGTCGACCCCCCGAGGTCTGAACCCATTCCCCAGGAGCGGGTCTTCATCCCGAGTCGTTTTTGGACGGTCCCGAGGCCCGGTGTGAGGGCCCCACAGGGGCCGAAGCTCACGAACAAAAAAGCCCTCCTGATTTTTTCATTCCTCGATGGGGGTCTGGGCCTCTCACTTCGGCGCGCCGCCGACAGGTGCTTTCGGGCCAGACCTCGGACCTCTGGCGGCCGTGGTCGGGACGGCCCGAGGAGCGCCCCCAGAACGCCCCCGGCGGAGCGCAGCTGCTGGACAAAGCAGCCCGAGGCTGCAGGACCGCCGAGGACCCAAGAGAACGCCCGCAGACCGCAGACCCCCGACGTCGTGATTTTTGCTCTCAACCTCGACTCCTCCTCCTCCTCCTCCTCCTCCTCCTCCTCCTCCTCCTCCTCCTCCTCCTCCTCCCTCCGAGGTCCTCCCACCCCTTCCCGGGACCGGTTTTTCTTTCATCTGGGTCGTTTTTTGACGGCCCCGAGGCCGGCAAGGGCCCCGAGGTCCCGAAAATAGCGAAACACCTCCCGTCGTGTTTCGTCGCACCGCGAGGGGGTCTTGGGGAGGACACCCTGAGAGCGCGCCCGAAAAGGCCTCGAAACCTCGAGCCCGAAAGCCTCCCCCAGGGGGCTCGCCGCTCGCCCCGAGGGCTCGCCCGTCCTCCCGTCTCGGTCGCTCGTCTCTCTCCTCTCATCCTCTCGTCCTCCTCCTCCTCCCTCCTCCATCCTCCTCCTCCTCCTCCTCCCCCTCCCCTCCTCCTCCTCCTCTCCTCCTCCTCCTCCTCCTCCTCCCCTTCCTACATCCTCCCTCCTCTCCTCCTCCTCCTCCTCCTCCTCCCCCTTCCCCCTCCTCCTCCTCGTCCGCCCGAGAGAACTTCGCCTCCCGCGGCGCGGCGGCCGCGCCAGCAAGCGCGGGCGCCCCTGTCGCGGGGTGCCCCGCCTCGCCCGCGCTGGGCGCCGCGGAGCACCCGAGCCTGGGAGTAACGGGAGGAGCGACAGGATGATGATGATGATGATGATGATGATGATGATGATGATGATGATGATGATGATGATGATGATGATGATGATGATGATGATGATGATGATGATGATTGTGAGGTGATGATGATGATGATGACGACGACGATGATGATGATGATGATGATGATGATGATGATGATGATGATGATGATGATGATGATGATGATGATGTAGATGATGATGATGATGATGATGATGATGATGATGATGATGATGATGATGATGATTGATGATGATGATGATATGATGATGATGATGATGATGATGATGATGATGATGTGGATGAGAGCGAGGAGGAGGAGGAGGGAGGAGGAGGAGGAGCGACAGGAAGAGGAGCGACAGGAGGAGGAGCGACAGGGAGGAGGGAGAGGAGGAAGGAGGAGGAGGAGGAGAGAGACGGGAGGAGAAGGAGGAGGAGGAGGAGGAAGAGGAGGAAGAAGTGAGGATAAGGAGGAGGAAGCGAGGAGGAGGAGGTGGAGGAGGATAACGAGGAGGAGGAGGAGAGGAGGAGGAGGAGGAGGAGGAGGAGGAGGAGCAGGGGTGGATAAGGAGGAGGGGATAGGCTCAGGAGGGGAGCCGCTCCCTGCTGAGGGCGGCGGCCCGCCGCACGGCGGCGCCCGCCCCGAGGAGCGCGGGGCCGTAGGCGGGGTGCCGGCCCAAGGCCTTCACGAGGGGTCCTGCAGTCGGGCTGCCGGCAGGAGCCCAGACCCCCTCGCGTGGTGAACAATCACGACGCAGCGCCCGCGTCCGTCCCTCCGCTCACCCCCCAATTTCCAGGCCCCCTCGCGTTGCGACAAGATCACGACGGGCGGTTTTTCATGATTTTCGGCCTCTGGGGGCCCTTCCCGGGCCTCGGGACCGTCAGAAGCAACCCAGGATGAACAACGGGCCCTGGGGAAGGGGTCCAGACCTCTGCGGATCGAGGTTGAGAGCAAAATCACGACGTCGGGGGTCTGTGAGCGCTGGGCGAGAGGCCCATCCCAAGAGAGCCGACATCCTTCGGAGAAGGCGGAGGGCTGCCTCTCTGGGGAAGCTCAAACGCCTGACGCTGTCCTGAAGCGGCCCATCCCCGACTCGGCCCCCGACTGCCCAGTTGGCCCCTCACCCAAATTCGCAGCTGTAAGGCTTACATAGCACTCGGAGGTACGATGAGAAATGTGGACGCCACCAGCCCTGCCTATCATTTGCCTCCATGCAACATTCATCCAAGAGGCTCCTGACCCACCGCCCAGGCAAGGTGTCGGGTTGGGCCGAAGGCCACTGGATCCGCTGCTCCTGGCTGATTTATAACCAGCCCTCTGGGCGTAGGTGGTCTAGGGAGCTTCCTCTTCCAATTCCCTTTCTTCCCCTTCGGGGAGGGGTTTACCCCTCCCCCTACCCCCTCCCCTGGACCTGGACGGGGAGGGCCGCGACGCGTTGTAGCGTCCAAAGCGGCCTCTGTGAGGAAGCCAAAACAATTGATTTTACTCAGGTTTTGGCCACATGTTGGCCTTTGGGGGGGGAGCGCTAAACAAAAAACTCCCCTCTTCTTTGATCGATATCCTCCAAGGTGGCCCCGAGAGCGCCCCTAAAGCTCCGCGCCGGGTGCACAGCAGCAGGAAACCTGCGTCCTGGCTGCTGAAAATAGAAGAAAAAAGCGAGGCCGCTGCAAGATAATGGCAGCGGGGGGCTGGCCGGGCTAAGAGCGACCAAGAGGGGCCGCTACCCTACCCAGACAAATGGCCCGGGGCGCCTCAAGAGGGCCTCAAGAGGCGCCCAGACGGCCCCAAGAGGCCTCCAAGAGGCTCCCAAGAAACCCCCAAGAGGCCCCCAAAAGGCTTCAAGAGGATCCCCGAGGCACTCTAGATACCCCCCAGACGCTCCAAGAGGCCCCCCCGAGGCACCCGAGACGCCCAAGAGCCCCCCAGGACCGCCGAGAGACCCCAAGACGTCCTAAGAGGCCACCAAGAAACACCCAAGCGATATCCCAAGAGGCTCCGAGAGGCATCCAAGAGACCTCTGGCCCTTGTGCTCGCCTTCCTCCTCCTGCTCCTCCTTCCTCCTACTCCTACTCCTTCTCTTCTTCCTCGTCCTGCTCCTCATCATCATTATCATCATCATGTTCATCTTTCTTCTCCCCACTCCCTCATCCATCCATCCAGCCTCCTTCTTCTCCTCCTCCCTCCTTCGCACGGTTCGGCCGTCCACCTCTTTGCTCCCGCACTTCCCTGATCACCTCAACTCGCCTGGACATCATTTCTGGATGGGCTGGTGGGGATACGTGAAGCATCTAGACTTTCAGGTGATTTGGGTCTCTTTTTGAAGCTCCCCCTGGGGCTTCGTCCCAGCGCGCTGGTCACCAGGAAAGCTGCTCCTGACCCCTCCTCTTCTTTCTTCTCCTCATAATCTTTTTATTCCTCCTCCTCCACCTACTCCCTGTTCCTTCTTCTCCTCATTATCCTCTTCCTCAGGTGTTCCCCGCAATTTCGACAACGGCTGGGGGAACACATGGTCCGACAGCTCTAGCCCAACTTTCGGCCACATAGGCGCTCCCAACACGGCAGGGGGCGGCGGTGATTCGGCGTAGGCGTCTTCAAAAACTTCCATGATCGTCGCAAGCTCTGACTCCTTTTGTAGGTCGGCAGGGAATGGAGCAAGCCACTGGAATAAGGAACGAATCCCGTTTTTTACACCAACAGAGCGAATCCCGTTTTTTACACCAACAGAGCCACGGTGCACTAGGAGGGCTCGAGGAACAGCCGCGGAATGACAGAAGGAACAGCGAGCCCCTTCCGAACCTAAAACGGTCCTTACCTCAAAATACTGGCTGTATATGACTCGGCTCGACGCGACGTACTCTCTGGCGCCATGGTAACAATCGGTATGGAACTGATAGAAGCTGGCGCAGAGAAAAGCCCGTCGCGATGGCTAAGTACAGGCAATACCAGCCGAGGGGTCCTGGAAGATTTAGCGGAAGTTTCGAGGAGCGAGCTTTCAACGCATTCCGCACGCAGCGGCGGATCACCTGCAAAGCCGCGTTCGCCTCGACTCCCCTCGCACACTCGTTGGGTTACAGCCCAGAGCATCCACGAGAGGTCCTTGCACCTAGACCCCCGTCGCGCCGTGGAACAGTCACGACGGAAATCAAGAGCTGTGATTTTCGGCCTCGCGGGGCCCCCACCGGGCCCAGGGACCGTCAAGAAACAACTCGGGATGAAACACCGGCAGTCGGGAAAGGGTCTGGACCTCTCGGGGTCCACGTTGCAAGCAACATCACGACGTCGGAGGTCTGGGCCAGAGGCAGCTCCAGGGCGGCCTCCGCGGGAGCGATTGATTGATATATGCTGGGCCCGATCTCTCGGGGAGGCCGCTGAGCTGAACAAAGCCAGATTGGGCCAAGGGTTAGAGCCCGTGTCAAGAGAACGGGCTTGGGCCAGACGGAGCGGGATCAGGCCAGAGGAGGTCGGCCCCGCCCACGGACATACCAGCGCCGATGCGGACTTCCCATCCACCTGTACTGTTCGATCCAAGGCACCAGGCCTCCCGACCCCTTCCCCAGGACCAGTTGTTCCTTCCGGATGGTCTCGGGGATCGATGAAACGCGCCCCCGAGGCCGAAGTCGCTGGAAATCTCCCAAATCGCTGAACAACTCCCAGAGGGAACAAAAACAACAACATCGTCGGCTTCGCTGCTCCGATACGCAACACGCAGCCCGTGGCCTGTTGACACGGAGCTCCATACGTGTCTGGTGCGACACGTTCGCCAACACGTGCCGAGCCAACACGCAGCGTGTTCGTTGTTTTCGCCGGCGGCGAGGCCGATGCGATGCGCACCAGCGTTGGGCCAGTCGGGGGCACCGACAGGCAAATTGCCCGGCAGGCAAGAGAACGAGAGACAGGAGAGGGCGGTCGCGCGGAGGGAGAAGGAGGTAGGCGCTCAGAAGCTGAGTACTTCCGCACGCAGCATATTAACACGGACGTTTTGAACACGGTTCGTGTTGCGTTTCAGCACGTGCATACCAGGACAGCTGATATCGTCGGAGATCTGGGACTCTAGCCTCCCAGGAGTTGCCGCCGAGAGGGTCCGTCGTCCCAGCGGCCCCTCGTGGTGTGCGTGGCCGGCAGCGCGGAGCCGCGGAGCGCGTCGAGGACCGCGGCCTCCAGCCTGCGGGGACGCGGCCCACAACGGTGCCGTGGAGGACTGCGCGGCGCCGTCAAAGTCCCAGACGACCTCACCGTACGGTCGGCCACCACACGGCCTTGGGCTCCCTGGGGGAGTTCCCAGTCTGAGGTTGGGCATGTCCTCCTACAGGCGGGTTTGGGAAGAAATGTGAAAATAGTCAAAACATATTCAACAATAGCCAAAAGCAATCAAAAATCGTCCCCAGGCTTTGTTGACTATATTTGAAAATTTCCTCCTGCAGAGAGGGACATGATGCCCGACTTAACCCCAGTCGTCCGAGACAGCCTCGGAGAACGACCCAGGTCCCAAAACAGCGCGGTGACCCCGAACCCCCACGGACCCCACCCACCACGAGGGGCAAGTTTTTGAGTGCAAAAAACTGGTTTATGGAATTCGAAAAATCAGTTTTGGCATTCAGAAAGCTAGTTTTTGAAGTCGAAAACAAAGTTTTTGAATTCAAACACCGATTTTTCGAATTCACAAAACATGGTATTTGAATTCAAAAGCTGGCATTTGAATTCAGAATTTTTTGATTCAAATACCAGTTCTTTGAACTCAAAAGCAATTTTTTCTGAATTCGAAAACCAGCTTTTTGAATTCAAAAACCAGTGACCGCCCTGTTTCTTTCGGGCCACGGCTCGGCTCCACGGCGGCCGTGTCCGGGACGATCTGGGCAGATCCTGGGGGCGCCCTCGGAGCGAGGCGCGCAGCTGCCGCAGCGCACCCCGAGGCGGAGGACCTCGCGAGGAACTGACGGAAACGCTCGAAAACCTAGAATCTGAAGGGGCCCTGGGACACACAAATAAATACACACAAATAAAAAGATGCCCCATATTTTCCTGGTACTCGACGATTAATTGTTTCTGTGTGTTTTTCCCCTCCTGAGAATCGGGGGGGATGCGTCGGGCTGGGTGCATCGGTGGTGCCGGGCCCCCGCTGGCGGAAACCGGACCTTCCTGGGCAGGCTGGGGCCAGCGGGCCCCTTGTCAGCGATCGCCAGGTGGTCTCGGGGGCGCGCGCCCGTGGATCGGGGGAAGTGCCCTCCCCAAGATGCGGCCGGTGCCGCCTCGCTCGGCGGCGGAACTCCGCGATTTCCCAAGGAAACGGGACCCGTCGCTAATCCACGCCCCCTTGATCCATGTTTGCGATCGCCTGATAGAACCTCGGAGCCTGTCGTTCCCCCTGAGTTCATCCCGATTCCTCACTGACCCATCTTGGCGGCGCGCACAGGTGGGTAGGAGGGGGGGGAAGCCTTCTTAGAAGGAGGCTGCTCCTTCGATGGCGCAGGCCTTGCATCTATAGATACGGCCCGCGCCTTCTACCACTACTATTGGATATTCCTCCTGTCGAGAGTAGAGGGACATGGCCGACTCAACCCAATACACCCCCTGTGCGCACTGCCAACCACCACACAGTGTGGTCATCGCACCGCTTGGGGCCCTCGAGGGCCGCTCGCCCGCGACGCCCTCTGCGGACAGCGTCGGCGCCAAGAGGCGCCGGATGCACGAGGCCGCGCCCGCCGCGTCCCGGGCCGTGGCGTCGAGGTCCTTCTGGGAGGGAGGGACAGAAACGGTGAGGGCATGTCAATCCGTATAATGAGGACGCACGATAAGGATGCAAGGGCCTTGGAAGGCAATCTTGAAGCTTCCAGCGGGGCTCGGTCAACGAAAGTGGCCAAGGATGGACCGAGGAGACAAGGATGTAAGGGTACCCCTGACAAGGTTGCCAACCATTACTATGCGGGCTGACTGTAGAAGCATGAAGCAGGAAGGCGTTGACCGTCGATTGGGTCTCTTCCGGCCCCGTAAAGGAGGGAACATGGCAAGCCACTCGATGATTGAAATAGGAAGGCGCCTTGAATATATTGGAATATGGGAATCTAGCAATGCCTACTTTCAACGACCGATGGGTAAGAAACCGTTGGATAAGGAACCCAGGGTCTGGAAGCCAGTGGAAGTCCAATCGTGGATTTGTCTATGAATATCACTGCCGCCCTCATCAAACACGAGATACAGTCGGGGCTGATTGCAGAGGACACGCGAGAGGACACAAGACCCTTCCGAGGGCCAGATTGCCACAAGAATGTAGAAGGCGTGAGTCGCGAAACATAGGACACAAGGGTACCCTTGACTTGGCAGGGTCGACCTTCTAATCAACCTCGACTGTACTCCTTAACCAACGCCCCCACCGTACCGCTGCAATTGCCTCGTTTTCGCCTCATCGGGCCTCCTGGGAGGCCCTCGCCACCACCGATGAATTCGCCTCGAAATTCTGGTCAGAACGCGGCCGGGATAGGAACAGGGAAGTCCTGTGCCAGGAAGGAGTCAGAGAGCCAGCCCTAGCCGGGATCCGTGGGGTGGAGGCCATAAAGGGGCTTTCTCCTCTGAGGCTGAGAGAGTCTCAGCATCGACACCTGGGCCGATAAGGCATCGGGGGGGGAGAGAAGGGAGGTTAGAGAGAGCACACACAAGTCCAGGCTCAGCGCGGCTGGGCTCGCCGCCAGGCGCTGGACGTTCAGCAGCATGGCCTCTCGGGGGAAGGCCAGCCGAAGCAACGGCGTCCCCCCCTGAGATCCGGGCGCTGCAACTTTTTCACGACCACCGGGCGTTTCTGGGCCCCAGGGCCACTCGATGTCGATCTGGGCCGAAGAGGGTGGCGCCGAGCGATGGAGAGCCCGGGGCTCTGGCTGTGACTTCCTGCGATCTTGCCACCTGTCCGCAGCGTCGGGTCTCGAGGCTCTCCCCATCCGATAGGCGCCCAGCCCGGGCCTCCTGGGAGCTTCTCGTCGCCACGGCCGGATCCGCCTCGAGAAACCGGTCGGGATGGACGGCGGGAGGGGTCCCGGGGGCCCATTGCGAGCGGATGCGGGCTGGGGGCCTCGATACTCTGCCGCATCCACCTCCGGCCACGCGCAAGATGTCACCCTGGGCAAGAGAAGAGACCTCCGCTGCGCGGCTCTGGGCCCCGCATGCAAGCCACATCCAAGCGCCGCCAGGCCAGCGCGGGGGTAGAGGCCTCCCAAATGTGGTCCGAGTAGATGTGGTCGAAGGATCTCGCCGCATCGCCGAAAGCAAAAGTTGGGCTCCACATCGAGTTGGATCCCCGATGCGTCGCCGATGCGACGATGCGGCGCAATCCACCGACCCCATCTACTCGGACCTCACTTGGGAGGCCTACCCCCCGAAATCTGCGCCGAAGGTCAATCCGACGAAGGGTCACTCTTACGCGCAGCCGACACCTGTACACGACCTCCACGCCGTCCTCCGGCCTCACCGAGTTCAGGATGCCGAACAGCGTGCAACGGCCCCTTGGCCGGCAATTGCCGAAGATCCAGTCTCGGTCCTCCGCGGAGCAGTGCCTGCCGCAACTGTCGCTGATGTTCACGACGTCGTTGCAACCCTTCCCGTCAGGGTCCCCAGTGCAGTCTGGGCCCTGGCCGAAATATCGCCAGGGCCCCGCAAACGGGGACTTTGACAAACCAGAGCATCGGCGCGCCCGAAAACAGCATTGCAACCGCGAGTCGAACCGTTATCTCAACCGTTCTCGATTCCTGCTTTTTCTGCAGAGCGTCTGGAAGAACCGGCGTCTGGAAGAGCACGGCGCGAGAGCACAGCCGCTCTCGGCAATTCCCTCCCATTGCTCATGTGCGCTCCACACCGCTTATGCAGAAAAGGAAAAAACACCGTAAACGTAAATTTTTGGCGCTCCGCGTGGATTTCTTGGGTCTGCGTTGGACCCCCCTCGCTGGCGCGACGAGGGCGCCAGGGGCGGCGCCCGGGGCGCCGCCAGGGGGGTCCCAGCGCGGATCCAAGCAAACCGCGCGCAGCGCCAACAGTTTCTGTTTATGGCGCTTTTCTTCTTCGCCTCTTGATGGATGGGGTGCTTTCCAACAAAAAACCTGGTTTGCATCCTCCTGGTTTTCCGGGGCCCCAGGATCGGTACGCTGAGACCACGATCCGGATGGGCTCTCGGACAAAGTGCAGCACGCGGCTCCGCAGGTGCTGCTGCCCCAGCTGGCAGCCGCTGTTCCAGACCACGCTGCTCACCGAGCGCGCGGGCACGGGCCTGTCGGTGCACAGCTCGGCGCCGTCGCCGCCCCTGGCCTGCGTCCAGACGTCCGACCAGCTCAAGACTGCACGCAGCGCGTCTTTGATGCTAAGACGAAGCCAGGACGAGGATCACATCGGGTACGGACTAACCGAGAATCTCTGAGATCCGGCGGCTCTGGAGGATGTCTCGGGCGCCGCGGCCTTCTCAGAGCGTTCCGGAACGCTCTGAGATGGATAGTCATCCTCGTCCTGGCCCCGTCCGAGATACGCCAGGAGATGTAAACGCCTGTCTTCAGGTAGGTCAATAGGAAAACTGGCGCCTTCCCCAGCGGGGTCTCAAACCTGAGGGGCAACGATCGGGGGAGACTCGCATAGGGGGGAATGCATCGACCTGGAATCGGCGACACATCGCCGATAGTGAATCCGCAGCTTCCTGTGCGGGTTGGGGCTGTCGGGCCCCTATCGGCGATCAATGGGCGATTGGGGGCCGATGCATCCCCCCCTCTGCCTAGCGCCCCCTATCGTTGCCCCTGAAAACCCTGGGCTTCCTGATCCAGCTGCGCCGGCGAGGGCCGAGACCTGCGGCAGCAGGCGGTCCACGGTGGCCGAGAGCGAGAAAGCGCTGAGGTCGTGGTAGCTGCTGTCGGGCCGGGTCCAGCGGACGCGGGGCCATTTGCAGCAATAGGCGTACGAGTATCCACCGACCGCCTGTGGGCCACAAGGCGCGTGTGCGGTTCGCCGTTGAAGATGAAGCCATGACGAGGATAACATCGGATGAGGATACAGTAGATCGGGAATCTCAGAGATCCGGCGGCTCTGGAAAATGTCTCGGGCGCAGCGGCCTTCTTGGAGCGTTTCTGGAACGCCTGAGAGCGATCCGGAACGATCTGGAACGGATTTATCCTCTTTCTAGCCCCGCCCGACCGTTGGCGCAATGGAGATGCAAGCGACGTCTCTCTGAGGAAATCATATAGCCCCTCGCGGTCGAAACGAACATGCCTCGCGGTGCCACGTCGAACCGTGCATGGGACTGCGACCGGACAGGGAACACCGTCACGACCTGCAAGAGCAATGCCGATCACGAGGCTCACCGTGAAGTTGGGAGGCCCGCCGTCAGCTCTTAAAACAGGCAAGCCAGACACCGACACCAGGAGTGCAGCTTCTCAGCTGCACTCTCGCAGAACAGGGAGGCAACTCCCGCCCCCACCGGCGAAGTCGCCCAGAGCACGGCGGATCCGAAGTCGGCGGGGCCCGGCCCTCCCCCTCGTCCTGCCCGGGCCAGCGGCCCGGGGCCTGCCCGGGGCCGCGGAGCGCCGCGCGCGCGCCCCGCACGGCGGCACCATGGGTCTCCCGAGTCGAGGCACTGGCGGTCGCGGGGGCGGGCGGCGTGACGCCGTGAGGCCCCCGCCGATCCTGCGAACCAGCACTCGCTGTTGCCAGCGGGGCCGTGTATGGGCGAGCAGCACCTCTGGAACGTGTACGACACCTGCCAGCAGCTCTGGGGGCCGACGAAGCGGTGAATCGTGGCGGGGTCCAGGGCGCTCATCGTGCTCTGGCTCGCCCCTCGAGCCGCTCGGCCCAAACTGGCTACGCAGGGCGATTGCAGGCTCGCTGCTGGAGTCGTCGAGTTTTCGTTGGATGCCGCCTTCAACAAACTTCGCCATGAAATTGCCAAGCTGATTTTACATGAAAGCGCCAATTACGTTGACTCAATTCCATGAGGTACGACATGAATCCTGTCTTCCCGTCTCCCCTAGAACATGTACGAATGTAACTTCTTATACTAAGACCAACAGGAACCCCAATATCGGCTCAAGAGGCTCGCGAGAGCCCCTCAGGCCTCAGGAATCACCTCCCCAGCACAACCCCCTGCCACAACCCTACCTCACAAGCTACCAGCACCCCCCTCAGCACAATCCCAAGCACAAACCTCTCCACGACCCCAGCACAAACCTCAAGCAAAACCCCCCAGCACAAGCCCCCAACACAAAACCCACCATCACCCTCCGCACAATCTCCCAGCACAGCCCCCCAGCACACCCCCAATACACCCCCCAGCACAATCTCCGAGCACAACCTCTCAGGACAACTCCCAATACAACGCTCCTGCGCAACCTCCCTAACCCCTCCCAATGCAATCAACTTCCCGCACAGACCGTCGGCTCACACACATACACACAGCAGAACCCCACAGCACAACTACCAGCACAACGACGGGAACAACTACCAGCAAAACCACCAACGCTAAGAAACTAGACAAGTGTTTGCGAGTGCGCTACGAACATTTTGGATCAGTTAGGGACTCTGTTTGGCGACGCAAGCTTCTGAACAGAATCTGTGAGCGCATCGCCATATTCATTCGCACCACGTAAACGGACGCCCGCTTGATGTGCGAACACGCGCGTGCATGTGCATGGGCAACCACCGTGATGCCCACCAATATGATGACAGGAAGCTGGGAACACACTTGGCTGGATTCAGATGTGCAACATGTGGAGGCCAGGCGCAGGAGACAGATGGGGAAGTCCCAGCATAAACGACCATGGGAGGGCTGGAAAGACGACTCTCGCCCAGTCCAAACACGTCATGTGTATACAGCCTCCCGGTAGTGAGCGGAACGCCCATTTCGCATTCACCGCGCAATGAGTTTCAAAGTGTCGTCAGAGAACGAACAAGCTTCGCCAGCGTGCACAACGCGCCCTTGAACTATTGGTCGGGTTGCGTGTATTCATATAGGCGTTTACACATCTTGGTTTGGTATTCAATGACTGTGCCATGGTATGTATACGCATACACACACATATATATGTGTATATATATAGATGTGTGTATATGTGTATATATATATGTATGCACATGTAGATACATACGTATGTATTCCAAGTGAGTTGCCGTTTCGCGCAATGCACCCTGTTTCTCAACAGTTTGAACCGTTCAGGCGGGGGCGCTGGCCAACAAACAGAGTATCACGCCCACGGGGCGGAACATGCGCGAGACTCGCAGGTTCGGCAGCAGAGCGGCAGCGAACTGCCGCCTCCAGGTTGTGCATCACTGCCAGAAGAAATCACGCCGCGGAGCTCGAACTCCCTTCGGTGTATGCGGTGCGCGTCCGGACAGGCGATGGGCCCGCTTCTTCTCCTCCATCGCCTCCCCTCCAACTGCAGCGCAGGGCCCCTCCGCTCGCGGACAACGAACGAAATTCACCCGTCTTGCCCATGCCGGCCGAACGTATTGTTTGGGCCTGCGCAACCCTGGAAGACACATCTAAACATCTATTTTGATCGCTCATTTCCCCAGCGACAGCTGCATTCGGAAGGACCGCATGGTATCTAAAAATCCTCCCTGAAACATGTGTATTTTACGGCGTTTTCGTACAGAAAATTAGATACGATTAGATACGTTTTAAACATCGATTCGTTTGGATGCGATTTCTTATTTTTACATACGGGAAGCATGTTTTCTTCCAAATTTTAGATACGGGGTCTTTTTAAGATACGAACAGATATGTCTGGATATGTTTAGATACGGTTCAATACGGCGCCCATCGCTGGAAAACACGTCTACGAAAAATAGATACGAATAGATGCGGCGCCATGTCTCCTGCGCACGCCACGATCGATCATTTTCGCTCCTCGCTCCTGTTGGATCCTCCTCATCCGCCCTCCTCGGTGCTCATATTCTCTTCTCTTCTTTCGCCACATCCTGAGTGGGGTTCTTGTTCCCCGCATCCTAAGTGGGGTTCTTGTTTTCCTAGAACGCCCTCTCGTGTTCCTTCTCCTCCTTCTCCTTCTCCCGCTTCCCTGAAACCATACCAATGCGTACCATACCAATACCACGCCTACCTAACATACTATACCACACCACACCTACCATACCATGCCCACCATACCATACCAAACCTACGATACCATACCATACTTACCAAATCATGCAAAACTATGCCATACCTACCAAACCTACTATACCATACCTCTCCTCCTCCTCGACTCCTTCTCCTCCTCCTCCTCCTCCTTCTCCTCCTCCTCCTGCTCCTCCTCCTTCTCCTCCTCCTCATCTTTGCTCTCTCCATCCTACGGTTCCCTGTTCCTACCCAGTTCTCTCCTAAATTTCGTTTCGTCGTTGTTATCCCTCCTACTCCTCGTCGTTTTTGCCGTCGTCGCTCGTCTCCTCACTCGTCATCACTACGGCATCCCACTGTCCTCATCCTTTTGTTCATTGCTTCGACCAATATCATGGATCTTGCTCGTGCCGGGAGCGCAGCCAACTGCATTCGTTCTGACAAACATTCGATACGAATCGATACGGCGCGGCACTGCAATTCTTTGAAAACAGATGCGAATATATATATATATATATATATATATGTATTGATGTGTATATATATGTATATATACACATATAAATGTGTGTTTTCTGGAACAAAATCATTACGGTCCCAAATTTGCCGATACGCTTAAACAAGTATATGTTTAGATACAGCGGCGCTCCCGCGCAGGCCGGGGGCGCGCATCTAAAAATAGTACCTATAATGTCGTCATTGCAGACAACATAGATACGATGGACTTCTCGCCTGCGCTGGGGCGCGATCGCATCTATCTAAATGCATCTATGATGTTTAGATACATCTTGCATGGAAGCCTCCCGAAGGGCCAGGATCCGGGCCTCCTCGTTGGCTTGCGATACGCAGGCAGCACCGCAGGAGTTAGGATTGTGTTTCCTTTTCGCCGCTGTATCTAAGGACAAACCCTGGAAGCGAGACTCCTCCTTCTGCCCCTCCTCCCTCCCTCCCTCCCTCCTTCCTCTCCCCTCCACCTCTTTCTCATCCTCTTCCTTCCCTTCTCCCCTCCCTCTCTCCCACCTCCACCGCCACCTCATCCTCCTCCGTCTTCCCTCTATTTTCTGTCTCCTCCTCCACCCAAGCCTCCCCTCTCTCTTCCTCGATCGGGTCGATCATGACCCAGTCATGACCTGTGCCAACCGCCAGGGTGCAGAGGGATCGGGCGCATCGTGGACCGCCCCACAGCTCTGTGAAGCTGGCAGGAGGGGAGGAGGACCGGGAGCTCCCGAAGCACGGCGGTCACGAGGAAGAAACAACGGGGCACGCATCCTGGTGGCGCGGAGCACTAGTAGAGAAGCCGGCCGCAAGCAGGAGCGGCCCTGGACACGAGCGATCTTCGAGGCGTGGCCTTTGGGACGCGGAGGGGGGTTAAGTCGGGCCTGTCCCCCTACAGGGGGATTTTCGACGAAAAATTTAAAATTCACAAGAACTGCCCCAAAATGGTCAAACAATACTTAAAAAATCATCCCCAGACTATTTTTTGAGTATTTCCGAATATCCCTCCTGTAGAGGGACAGGCCCGACTTCAGAGTGGGGGGGGAAGAGGGGGGGGAAATCCAAACTGGGTAGGGATCGGGCTCCCGTGGGCCCGCGCCGGAGGTCCCTCCAGGGAAAGGCCACTCATCCTGAGCGGTGGCTTCGAAGCCGACAGGGGGCCGCGAGGGGCCTCGGAATAAAGCTTGCCGCCGCCCCCCCTCCCCCCGCACGCTGCCGATCAGGTGTGCTGCAGGAGGGGGGTCGCGACAGCGGCTGGGGCCAGGGCCGACCAGCGCATGACGATCTGCTCGAGCAGCCACCGCTGGGGCGCGAAGGCGAGCGCGGCGCAGGCGGCGCGCTTCTCCCTCGCCTGCGGGCGAGTGGGGCGACCCCTCCTGCCTCGACTGTGCCCGTGTGCCTTGCGCCACCGTTCACGTCCCGCCCCTTCCGCAACCGTGCGCATCTCGCGTCCTCTCCTTCGCTTTCCTCTTCTCTTCCTGGCCAGCGGCACGCTGCGACGCTTCCCTTCCCCCACCGTGTGGCGCTGCCGGCGCCAGGGTGCCCCTCGGATAGTCTTGCATCTGTGCTCGTGGGGTGTGCCAGGCGGCCCGCTGCCTGCTTGATCAAGGTTACGGCGTCATCTGAGCCTTCTGTCCCCTTGCCGTTCCCGGAACATCTGTTGCACCAGCTTCTCGCCCGCCTTTCTGATCAAATCGCACAACATTGAACACCTGCTGGACGCGAGGGGGCTCCGCGCAGGAGTGGACTGGACACCGAAGCGGCGGTTTCTGGGACACCGAGCAAGGAAAACGGCAGGCAAGAATCTCCCTTCGCATGGAGCCGTTCACGAAACAGCTCGCGGATTGGGCCCCGCCGCCACCACAACGGGCGAGCATAACTGTGTACAACGGGCGTAGCCTAGTAGAACCTGCCAGGGGGGTGCGCCACATTTTGGTTGCGCTCATCATTGTAGCTGATGACGTGGGGCGCCACGCTTCTTGATGCCAGCTCTCGTGAGCATGGCAATTTCGAAGCTTGCCCGCGAAACTCCCCTGCGCGCTCCGTGCAACATGATGGCTGCGCACCGGCCCCCGAGGACCGGAACCGGACCGGCCCTCGACCCCAACCGGCGGAACCGGACCGGCCCGACCTCGGACGCCGAACCAGCCGGACCGGACCGGTCCGACGAACCGAGCCGAGCGAACCGAACCAGAGAGCAGCCCCTGCGGGGACGACGGCGCGCGACGACGCCGAGCGCGGCGGCGGCGTGCGGCGGCGTGCGACGGCGAGCGCGAGGCCACAGGGGGACAAGGTAGGCCCCCCCTTGGGACAAAGTGCCCCCCCCCCTGAGACAAAGTAGGCCCTCCCTAGGACAAAGGAGGCCCCCCTGGGAGAAAGTAACCCCCACCCCCTGGGACAAAGTAGGCCTCCTTCCTGGGACAAAATAGGCCCCCCCCCCTGGGACAAAGTAGCCCCCCCCGCCCCTGGAACAAAGCAGGCCCCCCCCCCCGGGGACAAAAGAGGGCCCCCCCCTGGGACAAAGTGGGCCCCTTTCGGGGACAAAGTAGGCCCCCTTCCGGGGACAGAGCAGGCCCCCCCCCCCCCGGGGACAAAGTAGGCCCCCCCCCCCCAGGACAAGGTAGGCCCCCCCCCCCCCGCGGGACAAAGTAGGCCCCCATGGGACAAAGTGGGCCTCCCACTGGGACAACGTATAGCCCCCCCCTCTCCTCGGAGTGCGGACGCGGGGCGGGGGAGGTCCCTCCCCCCTCCTCCGTCCCCCTCCCTCTCCCTCCTCCATCCCCCTCCTCCTCCTCCTCCTCCTCCTCCTCCTCCTCCTCCTCCTCCCTCCCCCTCCTCCCCCCCCGAACCGGACCGGCCGCGCAACTCGAACCGACGATCTGAACCGGACCGGCTGAACCAGCCCGAACGCAGACCGGACCGAACCGGGCCGAACAGGGGCCATCGTGGTACAGGTGGGAGAGCTCGGGCTCGAAACAACTGACAGGGCGGATGAGGAGGGGGAGAAGGCTGACGAGGAAAAGTTGAGGAGCAGGAGGGGCGCCCAGAATAGTCGCCTCTTGCGCCGCGCGCAGCCACGCGGAGAAGGGCGCGCGCACCGTTCCGCTGAGGGACACGACGATGAACTTGTGCGCCTGGGACGGGCGCAAACGGGTGAATGCCGGAAGAGGGCTTCAAAGACAGAAGCACGCAACAGCGCTACGGCCAGGAACTTCTGCTTAGCGTGTCGCGGCGGCGGCCCTGGTGACGCGCTGTGCCCTGCGAGCTGTCAGCGTGTCGATCCGCCTCGTGGGCGGAAAAACGGAACAGACTCTGGACGTTGACGCCTGGAGATTGGGACCTGGTCAGCGTGTCGCGCCGAGGCGTGGTGGGCCATGGCTGGCGGCTCGACAGTTCCAGACTGTGGCACAAATGCGAGATCTGGCAGACATAACTCGGGATCTCTGAGAGCCGACGGGTTTCTCACGATGTGGCCAGCGCCGCAACCGCCCCCAGAGCGCTCTGGAACGCAATCCTCGGGCCGTCCAGGAAAGCCATGGACCGACGCATTCGTCAGAGGGAGGGGGCGAACGGACATTCACTGTCCATGGGTGCGTGGCTGAAAAGGGGCTCCGCGGTGCAGATTGTTGCGTTGCGTTGTTGCGTTGTTGCCGTCGTCCTCCCCCGCGACCCGCCCGCGACCCACCCCTGGCCCACCCCGCGATCACCGCGCGACCCTGCCCGCGACCCACCCTGCAAACCCACCCGCGACCAACCCGCTACCCACCCGCGTTGATTTGACGAAAAAATCGGCGCCTGCGGCGGGCTCGTTGTGTAAGATTTTAAAAGAGGAGCCTTCGGCGGGCTTTGTCAGAGCTTTGTAAACTGGTGACGACCCCACCGCCCCGTCGCTCTTATCCGCAGTTGTGGGGGATTGCGTACTCTGCGCCTGGTTGACCCCCCCTCGCCTCATTCTCCATAGCTGTTGATGCTCCTCCTGGTCATGGGTATGCCGCGAAAAGGCCCAGCGGGTTGGGGGAAGAAGCGCCAGGATTAGTCATAGAAGGAGGGGGGAGAAGTGAGGATGACCAGGGCGAGGTGCAGGAGGAGGGAGGGGGAGGAGGAGGAGGAGAAGGCGAAGAGGAAGGAGAGAGGGAGAGAGGGAGCAGAAGGAGAAACGCGACGAAAGGAGGCAGGCATCCACTTGACTGCTGTCGCGCTACGCCGTGCTGTGCGGCGTCCTGGCGGTGACCGTCGAAACGCTCAGCGTCATGATGCGTGCCGGATTCGTGATGCGATGCTGCCCTCCATTGGGCTGTCGTGTCGTGCAGACTGATGCTCGCCGTCTGGCTGCTCAACGTCGTGCCGTCAAGACCCGCCGTGGTCCTTCTTGGCGGATGTGCAAACTGTGGCCAGGCTCCCCCCCCCATTGTTGTTTGAATGTCTTGTTGCCCGGACCAGCGCAGCTGCTCAATGCGGGGCTGCTTGCGCCCGTCGTGCCCGCAGTCCTGCCGCTCCTCGTCTTGGCGTTCGAATCCACAGAGATGCTCCACGGGGATCCGCTAGTGTCCCCCGTGTTCCTCACTGGCGGCTGTCGGAATTGCGCTGCTGCACTCCCCCGTGTTGCTCAGCCTCGAGCTGATGGTGCCGCTCTCGATGTTGGCACCCGTGTGCTCTGCCCTGGTGGATGTCCAATCTGGGATCCTGTGCAGTGTCGTGCTCAACGCCGCCCTGCTGCTGGTACCCGTGCTGTTGCTCAGCGACGTGACGCCGTCACACGTCGTGTACCTCGCACGTGGATGTCAGCGTCGGGGTGCTGCTCTCCTTCGTGCTCCTCCGCGTCGTCTTCTTGGTAAGTCCTCCATTCCGTCATGGCGCTGGGTGTTGTTTTGCTGGTAGCTGTCGTGCCGCGTGTTGTCGTGCTGGTCTGCGTCTGGCTGCTCACAGTCGCGTTTCTGGGGATGATCGTTGAAGGGGGTAAGGCAGGGTAGTGGTAATCGTAGGTAGTCCCTCCACCGCCCAGTAGCCCGAGGACGAGGATGATCAGGAGGGGGACGAGGAGGAGAGAGAGCGGGAGGACGAGGAAAAAGACGACGAGGGGTGGGACGAGAAGGAGGAGGAGGACGAGGAGGAGGACGAGGAGGACGACGACGAGGAGGAGGAGGAGGAGGAGGAGGAGGAGGAGGGCGACGAGGGCGACAACGACGACGATCGACAGCGGAGCGGCTGCCTGGGTGGCCGCCCTCGCGCGGAGCTCGCGCCTGGCCGCCTCGAGCTCCTGCACCTGGGCGGCCGCGCTCGCATGGAGCTCGCGCCTGACCTCGAGCTCCTGGGGTGCAAAGGGGGGAGAAGGGGCGTGCCCCCTCCTCTTCCTCCACCTCCTCCTCCTCGTCCTCCTCACCCGTGTTCCTCCTCCTCCTCCTCCTCCTCCTCCTCCTCCTCCTCC